CAGACGAGGACAACCCTAAGTGCGAAGAAGTCCTCACCGAGCTGGAAAAGATCGACGATGACACCGACGACCTGGACATCACCTTCGTCAAAATCAGGGACACGCGCTACGCCAAGAAGTACGGTATTCAGAAGCTCCCCGCCCTGGTCTACTTCAGAAGAAGGTTCCCCAGCATATACAGAGGTGGGTGGATACGAAATGGTGATGAATGGTGAATGAAGGGATGAAGAGAATAACTGGTTAGGTAAAGGAGGGAGCAAGGCGTTGCCTGTATATTCTTATCCTTACTGACCATCATGATTTTTTTTTAACATTATCGTCAGCATCTTCACTCTTGTTATCATCATGGAGTATTATTCGTACACTATCATTAATATTTTCACTGGCATCATCGTTATTTTTATATTTATCATCATTATATTCATTGTTATTATCGTGTATATTATTGTTGTAATTATGGAGATCATCTGCAGCATCATTGTTACTATTGTCATGATTATCATCATTATGAACTTCACCCTCATTTTTATCATCACCGCCATCACAATCACCACCGCGATCATTACCAACACTCTTAATCATCATTATTATTCCCATGTAATGACCTTGCCTCCTGCCTCGCCCTTTCCAGGAGACCTCATGGTGGAGGACGAGGTGCTGGAATGGCTGCAGAAGAACAGATTCAAGCACCCGGAGTTGAACCTCTTCATGTACGCCACTGGAGCCATCACCTTCGCGTTCATCATGTACACGTTCTTCCTCATTTTCTGCTTCAAGAGCCCACACCAGAAGGCCGCGTGATTACGTCCGCCCACCTAGATCTATCTCTGAATGAAATTTAAAAGTTGTCTTTTTTTAGTTTTTTTTTCGGTTTGCATACGATCGTTATTGCTTTTTTTCTGAAGATATCAAAGCATATCAGCTTGCTGCGACTTAGGTGGTTGTGTTATATAGCTGTGGGGGATGGAGGACAGGAGCGACTTTTAATGGATGTGAAGTAACACTATATTCATGTTCACGCGACCTGAAGGATCTGAAGAAAACATCGTTTTCACTAATCATGCCAATGGAAATGAAAAATGAGTCTAACCGTGACCATTTCATCTCATTTCACGAAGAAACAAAGATGAAGAAACTATAATTGTGATGAAATTCATTACATACGTAATTTTGACCATAGAAGAAAAGAAGAGATGTACTGTCAGCCAAGGGGAAATCTAGATGCAATGTTGTGATGTTTTCAATGCTCAATAACAAGCGATTTCCTAAACAATGTGATAGCTTAGCATGTGCGCACTCGAATTGGGCAGTAAAAGTACCTCATTGACTTGGAACTCTCACTGCCCATTCGGTCTCACAGTGTCAGCAAACGAAAACAAAAAAGCATTTTAAACAATGACCATACAGCCACAGTGAACTGCATCAAACTTCTGGGGTCAAATCATGCCATGAAAGTATACACGAATTGATAGAGAAAAAAGATTAATGCATATTTAGATGTATCATCTATCCCGGCACCGTGTTTACAAGTCAGATTCACTGTGGCTAAGGAATAACACTAATGCCTTGCCAATGCTAACGTTATGGAGTAAGGTGTAAAAAATAATAAATCGAGAAAGCGTCGTTCTTTTATGCCTGCCGTATGAAGGGCGGACGCTTTCCTAGTCTGGCGTGTGTCCGGGGTGCTCAAAGACGTGTCTTTATCACTTGTCTTATTTATACACTCCTACGCCCTTCTCTTCCATCCTCCTTAATCTTTTTTATCCTTTTCTATGATCCCTTCTCCCCTGTCACTCCCCTGGCTTTGACTGATACCTTTTACCACAAGGGGATTCACGACGAAATCTTAGGACCTGGGGGTTTCGCTGTAAATTTACAGAATATTGGAGATTCAAAGATTTTCATTTAAGAAGAGGGTCAGGAGATGATTATTTTTATTTTCTATTGAAGAAAAATGTGTTACAGGCATGAATAGCATCCCTGTATTTTTTATACTCCTTGCCATGGTCTTAACCAATAGAAATCAGTCGGAACTGGCCTGTTGTATTTTTCCTTTCCATTTCAATGTTGGTAGCGTGTCTGTTATGTGTACAGTGTTAAAAAGAGTCCAGCGGCCTATGTATAACTATTTCTGCCATAGACATATGGAGATTCTTTTTATGTTCCTATGTCCGCTGTGACTCTGTACCTTGTTCGTGTATAAGGCATTTATGCAAACTTGTTTCTACCTTACACTAAACTCATGAAGCGTTTCTGTCCGTGAAGTGGAGGAAGTGAACAGTAATGCCCTTCAGGGGCAGCCATGACATGGCGGAATGACAATATATCCACAAGGTGCTGATTTGCTAAGAAAAGTTTTTGTATAGTCACATATAACACTAAACTAAATAAGGTTTCTAGATAGCATCATCTTCACAGACAGAATTAAAAACGTAGTGATAAACAATGTTATCCTTTGTTACATGTAAAGTTCTTCTTTAACCTCTATAACCTTTTATAA